GGGCGGCGCGTGGGCAGGGCAGGGCGGCGCGGCGCTAGCAGGGCAGGGCGACGGGCAGGGCAGGGCGCGGCGCTAGCAGGGCGGGGCGACTGGTGGGGTAGGGCGCTACGGGCAGCTAACGAATCGGTGGGCCCTAAAAAAAACGGTCCTGGAACAGGACCTGCTCTGATACCATGTCAAGAAACTGAACGAGAATGATTTAATTGAGAAAGAACAGAGTACAAGTACTAACCCTTATTGGGTTGTACCCCTTATGGGCTACCCCACTACAGCCTACACAATCTAAACATAATAATAGTTTGACATCATCCTCAGGCGGCACCTCCACCGTGCTGTCAACGAACTTCTTCAGTTGCGCGATCTCCAACTGCGGCTCAATGGACTCGACCCACGTTGTCAAGTCGTGACGCCCTTCAAGCAGTTTCGGCACGACGATCTTCTCGGGTGAAAACTTGAAGTATCCGTATTCTGGAGCGATGCCACCATCGCGTACAGTTGACGCTTTTGCTGTCCACGAGGGTCCGCCACCACTCTGTCGTGCAGAGTTGCGATAACCATGCGCGTCACTACGCGCACTCGCTGCGGCTGCAGACCGAAGGACTTGCGCTTGCGTTCCACCGACGCTCGCGGTGTTCACTCTGACGGCACCTCGCAGTTCACCGCGCGTCACTCTTGCGCCTTCATTGCCATCGAGGTTGACGTTGTTGCCTTCAGCACGGGGAGCAGCGAACTCAATTTCCGCCTCAGCGCTGTGGCGCTCCCGCAAAGCAGCGACCTACGCTTCCAGGTCCATGCGTTCCGTAGCGGCGCCCTCGCCCACCATACGGAATCGATGTGGCTGCCGGCCCAAGGTTGACAACTTCGTCAATCGTATTCGAGGCTATCTGAAGTTTTTTTTTTTTTTTTTTTTTTTTTTTTTTTTTTTTTTTTTTTTTAATGTAAGTATACACCGAAGGGCAAACATATACAAACAAAACGGTAGTAACCGTGCTTGAGGAGGCAGAAACAGGTTCCTGCTCTAGAAGAGAGATCTAGGGCCTGATGGGTCGTGCCCTCCGATGTGACCAAATTGCGGCGATGGGTCGTCCATTTCCAACCTTTGCGTCCAGTTTGATCCTCTGCAGCATGTCCCGTTCTTCTAAAACTTGCCTTTGCTTTTGCTTTCGCCACGTCATCCCAAATTTGCGGGTATACAGCTTGGCGTGCTTCCGAAATGCGAACTCTATCTTCCTGAGGACACGTTGCGTCCGAAATCTGCTACCCCGAAAGACAGCGTCACACCGCTCGAGCCATAATTGGTGAAATGTGATGGCCGTTAACGTCAGCTCCGGAAATGCAGAGCTGGTGCCAGTTTTCCGGAACAGTAAGTCCCCCAGCGAGGCTGTTGTGCGGCTGGGATTGAGCATGCCCAGTGCACGCTTGAGGGCGTTGGAGATCAGTTGAATCCGAGGGCAGAGCACGAGGCAGTGCTCCAAAGTTTCCTCCCCTCCACGATACGGGCAGATAGGTTTGCTGCTGAGAAATGCTAGGCGTTCCCCCACCTGCAGATTGAGGCCGTGGATTCTCAGGAGCACGTCCCTCGGACGGCTGGGAATCGCCAGAGAGTCCCTGGTATCCACCACCTTTTTCCAGTCAATATTTCCGCCCCATTTCGCCGCCCACTTCTCCCTCTTGTATGATTCCTTGTGAGGCCCTGTCCAGCACTCCCTCATCTGCTTCAAAGCAATGACCTGCCCGTTCTCCAGAACAGGCAACCGGGGGATTGAGTCAGCCGAGCGGGAAGCACTGTCGGGAAACCGAGTAGCCGTAGCCAGGGTGCAGGAATTGTGTTCAGCACCTTTAGCGCCATCCTTGCGGGGCCGCTACCGCCGAGCTGCTGGGACAGCTCCTCCATGGGTCTTTGAGCCAGATCGCCATCTGGATTCCACTCCAGCAAGTCTCCCAGACGCACCTTCCATAGCCCCAGCGCCGCTTTCTGCCCACCAAGCGGCGTAGTTCTGCTTAACAGAAAAGCTTTGTTGAAAGCTATTTTTTCATGCAGGATCTCCTCCTTAGTCGCCGCCACTGGACGTGTACAAAGCGGGGATTGAATCAAGCTTTCACATGTCTGTCTCCAACGCACGCTCCCCCCCGTCCAGTATTTCAGAATTTTCTCATGCGCCATGAAGGTATCTGCTCCCGACGGCAATTCCGCAGCCTGCATCATGATGTGTTTCTTGAGGCTGTTAGTCACCGTGAGAAACAGCCCTGCCCTTCGTGCAGCCAGGCATGTGAGCACAATTCCAGGATCCCGCACTCCAATCCCCCCGGCCGCTCTAGTTGTGTGTACCAACTCCTTGCTCCACAGCACAAAACTCTGACCGTCGACACCTTGTTTCCATATATAAACCCATGCAGCAGTCGTGTGAGCTCTGCCCATACTTCTGCAGGTGGAGGATAGATCTGCGCTTGGAAGGCCACTATCGGGGTGATGTAACAGTTCACCACGGTTGCTCGAGCCGAGGTGATGAGATATTTCAGCTGCCACTTTAACAGTTTCCCAGCCATGTGCCCCATAGCCTTCTCCCACGTTGGCAGGCCGCTTCCCGACGGCGACACCCAGACCCCCAGCAGTCGCTCTGCATCGTCTGCACCAGCCCAGTTGAAGACAGAGTTACCGCCTGTCGCGCCAAGGTTCGCTCCTAGCGGTAAGACCACCGATTTGCTTTTGTTGGTCGCCAGGCCAGAAACTTTTTCAAATTTGTCTAACAGCTTCTCTGCTTTGGTTATCTGCTCCACTCCTTGCAGCGCCAGTGTTGTATCATCTGCGTACCTGAGGTAACCAAGCCGCTGCCCGTCCTTGCTGAGCCCAAGATCCTCCCTCTCCACCGCCTGAGCCAGGGGCTCCACCGCACACAGAAAGAGGTAAGGCGCCAAGGGGCACCCTTGACGGACCCCAGAGATCACGTCCAGCCGTTCTCCAAGCCACCCATTTACTAACAGCTTCGTTTTTGTGTCCCTGTGCAGCCCTTCGATCCAGTCCATAAATCGACTCGGGAAACCCATCCTCCTCAGCACCTGGAACAAGAAGTCACGGGATACTGAGTCGAAGGCTTTTTGAAAGTCAACGAGGAGAAGATACCAATCCACGTTTCCATTTTTCGCCGCATCAATCATATCCGCCACCAGCGCCACTGCGTCAGACAGCCGCCTGCCCGGTAAAAAACCACACTGCTCTGGTGAGATGACCTAATGCAGTACAGTTTTCATACGGTCGGCTATTACCCGCGCCAACACCTTGTAGGAGAATTTTGACAAGGTAATCGGTCTGTAGTTGTTAAGCTGATCGCGCTCCCCCTTCTTGTGCAGCAAAATCGTTACCGCTTCTTTGCTTTCCGCCGAAAGGGAAGTCGGTTTCTCAAAATCTCTTGCCATGGCCATGAAGCTTCCCCCCAGCAGGTCCCAATGAGCCTCGAAGAGTTCCTTCGGAAGCCCATCTCCCCCAGGTGATTTGTTTTTAGCCATTGCTGCAAATGCTTTCTTTAACTCCTGCTCCGTCCAATCCGCTGCTAAGGCTTCCGCCATTCCCCCCTCCAACCGTCTTGTCAGGGACATGTTCCAGTCAGAGAAGTCAGTACGCCGATCCCTTCCGAAGATGTTTTTGAAGTACTTTGACGCCGCATCCAGAATTGGCTTGGAGCCTGACACCGAGACCCCCCCTTCATTTAACTCCGCGATTTGAGTACGTGCTTTCCGCGCGCGAACTTTCGCCGAAAGGTGAGGCGACGCTATCTCCCTTGTCAGCTCCTCCTTCAAGACTGCTTGTAAGTGCAACCGCTCCCTTCTCGCCGCCTGATATTCCTTAAGCTGAAGCTCCTTCTCCTCCAGCATTAACCTTTTTACGATCGCATGTTGGATCCCTCATTTGCTCCTGCTTCAGGACTGCTACAATGTTGACCAAGTGAGACAGAGTCGCCTTGACTCTCTTGCTTTCTTCCCTCGCATACGACCTGAGACCAGCACCAAGGCGGGAGATTAGTATTTCAAAACTGCTTCCATCGTGAACCGGTGTCCGTCGGACCGTCGCGTCAATAATCTTCCGCACCCCCGGCCTGTGTATCATTGAGGCGTGTAACCTCCATATTCCCGGCTCTGCACAGACCTTTGTGTCAAGTCTGAAGTCCACTTTAATCGAAAATCAGTGATCAGATATAGGCTCCTTCGGCATGTCATGTGAAGATATAGCAAGGTGAGAGAGAAGAGATTGTGAAACTAAGGCTCGGTCAATTCGTGTGCTGGCTTGATGAGATCTGTCGTAAAAAGTGTATTCTCTGGCTCGTGGATGCATGATGCGGAAGGCGTCAGAGAGTTGGAAGCGGGTGCAACGCAAGAAGAGTTTCTCATTCTCAGTGGACGACCCCGAGCCTGAAGATCTATCCAGCTTTGGATCTTCAGTCAGGTTCAAGTCTCCTATCAAGAGCAAGTGAGAGGCTGTCGGAATTTGGTCAACTATCGGTCCAAGGGAGTCATGAAGGAAGGCGGATCTGGATGTGGGGTTTGCGGGGAAGTATACTGCTAATAATATGATTTCTAAGCCTGGGCCTCTGACAGTCGTTCTAACTATGCGTCCTGAGGGGTGAGCTAGTGAGTCGTGAAAGGAGATGGATGGGTCTCGGCATACTACTGCAACACCACCAGCCGATGTACACGGGGAGGAGGTAATGACTGTAGCGGAGTCAGAAGTAAGTGCTGTCCAATAAGTATGGCCTGCTTGAATCCTAGTATCTACGAGGATGGCAATGTATGTGGTTGTCCTAATCTAGTCAGTTACACGGTTTTGCTTAGTCTTGTCACCTAATCCATTAACATTGAGGCTCGCAAAGGTAAGATGGTTCTTGATAATCATTGATTCACCCACTTGCAGCCCCTGATCATCCACAGGCTGAGGAAAGTAACTACACATGCAACATTGACTCCAAGACTCCAGTAAGCAGCAGCGACCAGGTAATCGCTTGGATCTGTCACAGTCTGTACTCCTTGCGGATGACTGTGAGGTTCATCCTGTCGAGAGAGTCTTTCGTGGCTGATCCGGGCTTCTCCAGCTGCTGCAGATGAGCGGCAACAGTGATGTGATCTGCAGCCGACATGAAGCTCTTCCCTTTTGCCTTCCCGCAACCTGTCTGTGTGCAGATCCAATCCTCCCTGCTGCTGCCGGTGGAGACAAAAGCAATGGCTGGGTCGCGGAGGATGGGGAGGATCAGCGAAGACGCTTTCAGCGACGCAGCTGCGAAGATCGAGCAAAAGGTTAGCAGATAAATTAATAAGAAAAGGAGGAAAACGGCGAATAGTCTGGTTGCTGCGTTTACCGTTAAGCCTGTGCACGTTCCCCAAGGTAAGGTTCCATTTGCCTTTGTTATCTTGACGCTCAGTGATAAAAACATCATGATACTTATCACAATGTTTGCCACCACAGAGCGTGCAGGATAAGGCAGGGTAATGGAGGAGAAGCTTCTTCGCGCGATCAGCAGGATCCGCGACCGCATGAATCGAACGACGTGAGCCCGAGTGAGCATACACCAGCGCCTTCACCACGTCAGTATCAGCTCCAGTAACTGGGTGGAGCACACGATGAAGACAGGTGCACCGCTGGAAAGCCGACTTCTGGCTGCTCTTTAACTTGTAAGTTGCCAGGCGATCATGAAGCAGATCCAGTTCGACAGCAGCAGAAACACCACGGATCATGACTTCAATGGCAAGCGGGTTCATCGCCTTCTCACGAGCGCAAGACATGTCCTCAGCATGCAGCCAGTGGAGCGTGACAAGCTGACCCATGTTCGTAAGAGGCTGATACACCACCTCCTTTTTCTACACCCAAAGCGCATCAGATTCCTTGACGAAGGAGACTTGGAGGCAACAGCGCGTCTTGGCGACATAAGCAGGAAGCAATTCCTGGAACTTTGTCGTCGCTGCGACTCCGTCAGATAAATCTGTGTACCATCCACGTTTTATGAGTGCCTTGACAGTCTCAATCATACAGGAAACCTCCTTCTCAAGCATCATGGGGATCAGCAAGATGACAACCGAACGCAGCCGGGACGCAGCCTCCTTGTCCAAGTCGATCAGCATCTCATCATCCGAGTCCTCATCCAGGTAACCATCCTCATCCATGGCAGCCTTGTTAGCCACCGAAAGTCCGGATCCGCCAGGCTTGGAGACATTGACACCGTTAAGCTTATCAGTCACCATAGAAATGTTGTCCTTGCGTGCCTCATTGTCAACATTGTCACTTCCCAATTGTTGATCCACTGCAGGAGGACCAGTGACGCCATTGGAGGCTAAGGTATCAGCGGCAGGACGAGAGCGCTGACCCTTTAGTAGAGCCGGGACATGATGAGACATGGTGCGATGATGAGATCGAGGCAGTTGAAGAAACTGCACTTGGTGAGGGAAGAAACTTGTACTGCCTGATGACTGAGCACGACCTTATTAAGTAGTGTCCAAGACTTGCCAGGATCACGCAGCTGATGTTGTTGGTGTTGTAAACTCGAGGCTAGCACCTCGGTGATGTTAATAATAGACGTAGAAACACTAACAAGAGAAGTTGACGATACACAGGAATCAAAACCATGCTGATGAACTTGAAAGTAACGCGGCCTTGGGAATGCCTGGCAGAGCCTGATACTTGTCGCCTGATAACTGGAGAGACCAAGGTCAGCATAAATGACCGGACTTCCATTCCGAATGTTAGAGACGATACTGTTAAGAAGATCAGAACTTCGCGTGCATTATAACGAGGACGTTGACTTAGTCAAGCTCGGTAAAATCCATGGTTGCCAGATGGCGGAGAAGGCAGAGAGCATTGTCATTGTCATTTCCATGGTGGTAGGAGTTCGCTATCTGAAGTTCGCGTATGCGTCCACGCTCACCGCACCATGAGGAGAATAGGCGATTGTGGGAGAGCCTAGGCGCAAAGTTGCACGATCGGAGAGAGAGGTGCAAGTTTTCCGTGTACGGACTTGTTGGAGACCGAATACTGGTATTCAGGAATTATAGCTTGGTACGCAGTAACTAAAGGAAAGAGATTGATTAATTGATATATTACAACAGAAACAACATTGACCTTGTAGGAAACATAGTGACGTGTACGAGAATGTTCTACAAGAACGTTGTTCATGAAGAACGTTGCTCAAGGAGAACATGCAAGCACCTACTCTAGTATGCGGTTCCAGGTTGGCACCGCCAGGTGAAAACGCCATCAGGTGAAAGTACTGTCAGGTGTATTTTCTACCTGTCCAGGAGCAGTTGCGCAGGTGCTCGCAACAGACAGTTGCACATACTCGTGTCTGCAATGTCGTCACTTCCATCCAATTCGGTTCGGTGTTGAACAGTGCATACCGAAGTGCACTATTGGAGTGTACTCGGCGAATACCGAAGCGCCGGTATGCGGTATGCGAAACCTCGCTACTTCGCATAGGGCTGCTCCAAGCGAAACCAGGCGCGTGCAGGGCTTCACCTTAACAGTAACTGGTGCAAAAGTTGACTATAACGCATCCTTTGGAGCGTTGAGCCACAGGGTTCAGTATACCGGAATCCACAATAGCGAAAAAACATGGTGTATATGTCTTTTCATACCCCACTTACGCACATGGGTATGCATCATTTCTATCATTTTGACCGAGGGTTGTGTGGGACGTCATTCGTTTACATAGCGTGATGTTCCGGACTCCTAAAATGAATGGAAGTAGCGCGATGGTATTTGCAACAGAAAAAACAGACTTCACACGACGGGTATTTGACTTCTACTCGCCCGATTGAAATGTTCAACATCCAGCCATATGCGTCATCCATAGCCCCTATTTCTAGGTGTCTAACTGAATTGGCTGAAAACAGGGCAGGGTATTAGTAAAAGGCGGGAACAGTGCGCCGAACGTGAAATACGCGGTGCGTGCTCAACTCAATACCCTTTTACAATCCATATCCTTGTCCGTTTGTCCATGTGTATACACTGTACAAAGTCGCAACGGGATATTTATCGTTACAATATTTCTCCATGCTCTGAGCCTAGGCAGACAATTCGGGTCACTTTGCCGCTAGAGTTCGTTGTTGAGCTGCTGTCGAACAGGGACCCTTGGTTCTCGGGAAATTATATGGTTCTTCTCGTACACCTATAGAGCCGCGATAATTCCACACCCCTTATCTTCACGCCCTGGGGTACCTACCCCTGGAAAATCTGGTTTCGAAGGTACTTAGCAACGTGCTTTGAATTATCGGAGATAAGGTCACACAATCTCATCCCGATCTGACAACAATAACAGAATTGGCGCTACACATTTCCCCGCTCACTCAGACTACGAAGGGCGAGTTTCGTGAGGCCGGAACTTGCTGGTCATTTTTTGATAGACCCGTAATGAAGGGTGTCCGTCTCGTCAAACCAAAAGCCGTATAGGGTGTCTGACAAAGAAGAGGGTACGGTGTGTGAAATTATCGGAGAACAGGTGTACATGTAAATCATATCGACCCGTGCCAGCAGGTTCGTTTTGACAAATGTGGACGTACATGGAGGACGCGGCCCTGTTCGATAGCAGTTTGAACAACCATTCTCCCACCATTCTCCCGCACAATGGTGGGAGCATAGCGACAAAAGACAAGTGGCGCTGTAGCGCCGGCACAGTAATCATTCGAGCCGACAGCCTGCCGGCTTCGTACACCAAGTCCAACGGCCGAGTTGGTCGAAAGCCTCCACCTCAACGGCCGATTGAGGTGGAAACATGTTGGGTTTTTTTTCTGACCCGGGCCCTGGCAGATCCACGGTCAGCGTCAGAGAAAGAACCGCACCCAAAATGTTTGAGACGAAAAACAAATAGAGTAGTGCAGATCGGTTCCAAAACGTGTGAGTGGTGTCGGAAGGTTTTGGCATAACACTAGTTTATACCTAGTTTTTTGTCTAAACTATCCCTAAATAGCCCCTCCTCTGACATTGGTGTCCACTTATCCTGAAAGTAGAAATGGCAATGGTGTCACAACGGTGGGGCGTTTTGCCCGAGAGGAGCTGTGATGTCGCTGTAATGATTACGCCGGCAGGCACTTTTAGGGTGCGCTTTGGACTGTGGAACACTGTTCGATTTCCCGCCTTGTTTTAGCGAGAGGGCGGGAAACTCGAGTCATCGCAGGGTATTCTTTCGCGCGGGCGGGAAATCAACCTTATCGCACGGGGGTCGCAACAGTCGCATGGAGTCGTAGACCCTTTCCCGCCCATTTTCTCCCACCGTGGGAGAAATTTTACAGTTGGGGTCACCCTGCTATCGAACAGGGCCATAATCTACAGTACAATACATCGAGCATTCGCACGCGGCTAGAAGTGAGGGAAGGTGAGGGACCAACTGCCAAGGGAAGGCACCTACTGGCCTTGCATCCTATCTTGTTCCTACCTACCCCCAGCACATCAAAGCTATAACTACCTTTTCCTGGAGTACAGTAGCAGCTGTGGCGAGACAAGCACCATAGCTTCCTCGCGGGGACAGTCCCAATGTACTGTACGCTCACCGCGACAGGCCGACTCGCCGACATGGCAAGTGTCAGTTCTGGGATTATCTCGGAAATGTCCGACGCCTCTTTTTTCAGAAAGCAACCTATCGGAAAACGTAGTCAGTTCGAAGATTATAATATTCTGAGACGTGTTGGGACAGATGAATTACCGCCGCATCTCTCGCCGCAGATTGCGGGTTCAATCAGAGGCCACGAGTCTTCTCTGTGATGAGTTTTCTCCACGGGTTACGTTTCTCCTCTATCTTGTAGCCTTAATCCGTGTCGCTAACGGTCTCGTCGACTGCCATAACCTAACGAATCCAAGTAAGAGGCTCCGGCTCTCTCGTTCTTGGTATCCGAAAACTTTACTGCTTCGTCGCTACACAAGTTGTCGGGTCTACATCTTTTCGTTTCAAGCTCTACATGTTACCGCCAACGTGCTAATTGCTGGCAAAGCTGCATTTTTAGGGTTTCGTTCCTATCCCGAACTCCAATTCTCTTCCATTATACCCCCTCTGCTTGGCCGTCACAGGTGAATCGTCAAACCTTCTCTCGAACCCAAGCTTCGATACAAGCTGTCTCGACACATGGCGTCGCAAGAAGCTGAACCCGTCGTGCCAGCCATGGCCGTACTTATTCCCGTGGCGCGCGCTAGAGCCTGGGGAAACAATATTAGGCGACGGGATCTTAGCCGTCGCATCTGGCGGCGGAAATCGTGGAACGTCGCTTGCGCCAGCGGTCGCGACAGCAAGAAGTGCAGCGCCGCCTGCTGACGTGTCAATTGCGGACGGGGTCGCGGGAGTCGCGGACATCCTACTGGCAGCTGGCGGGTCCCGTTTTTTACGGCTGACATCTGATTTTTCCGTGTCGTCTAGTGGTGCTCCAGGTAGCAGCAAAGCTAGTGGTAACAATAGTAGCAGCGCGTTTGGCGGCGCAGGCGTGTCGCAAGCGATGTGCGAACTCAAACCCGCGGCGCCCACGAGCAACGCGTCGCAGCAGGCACAGCAGCAGCAGTCCCCGCGCCAGCTGTCCCTCTCGTTCTTTGCGCGCGCCAGCCTGTGCGTGGAGGGGGAAGGGGCCGCGGAAGGGGAGGCGGAGCGGCTGTTGAAGGTGCTGCTGCTGGCAGTTCCGCTGAACGCTTCCGCGGCCGCCGCGGCAGGGGGAGGGGCAGAGGGGGGAGGAGCGGGGGAGCAGGTGTGGGGGGAGTGGCGGGTGGGCGTGCCGTGTGGGGGGGGCAGTGCGAGTCTGTCCGGCGCCTTGCCTTGGTTCCAAGTGGGGCCCCTCCTCTTCCCCCTCCCTCACCCCCCCGATTCCTCCGCCCCTTCCCCTTCCTCGTTGGTAGTGCCTCCAGGGGGAGTGGCGCTGCACTTGGTGATTCGAGGCGTGCAAGGCAGTAACAGCAGCAGCAACAGCAACAGCAGCACTGCGATCGTTGCCACCACCAGCGGTGTTGCCACCACCAGCGGTGTTGCCACCACCAGCGGTGTTGCCACCACCAGCGGTGTTGCCACCGCCATGCCCACAGCAACAGCAGGAGCAGGGGCAGCAGCGGGTGCGAATGCGACGATGGTGAAGAGAGAGGGCATGGCGTCAGAAACTTTTGATTCGACTCAAAAGGCAGCAGCGGGAGCGAATGTGACGATGGTGAAGGGAGTGGGCGTGGCGTCGGAAGCGGGGAGCACTGATATCGACCTTGTGTCTGTCATGCCCACTAGCAGTGAGTGATATGCGCTGGGGGGCGGGCTGCAAGGAGGAATAGAGTCCCAGTCCCAGGTGAGTGGGCTGCTATCGACCTCGTGTCTGTCATGCCCACTAGCTTTGAGTCAGAGAGGCAGAAATGGTTGGCAGGGTCACGCACAGGTGTGTCACATGTATGGCACGAAGCATGCGCGGCACACTGAAAGCATGTGCAGCACACTGAAAGCATGTGCAGCACACTGAAAGCATGTGCAGCACACTGAAAGCATGTGCAGCACACTGAAAGCATGTGCAGCACACTGAAAGCATGCAGCACACTGAAAGCATGCAGCACACTGAAAGCATGCAGCACACTGAAAGCATGCAGCACACTGAAAGCATGCAGCACACTGAAAGCATGCAGCACACTGAAAGCATGTGCAGCACACTGAAAGCATGTGCAGCACACTGAAAGCATGTGCAGCACACTGAAAGCATGTGCAGCACACTGAAAGCATGTGCAGCACACTGAAAGCATGTGCAGCACACTGAAAGCATGTGCAGCACACTGAAAGCATGTGCAGCACACTGAAAGCATGTGCAGCACACTGAAAGCATGTGCAGCACACTGAAAGCATGCAGCACACTGAAAGCATGCAGCACACTGAAAGCATGCAGCACACTGAAAGCATGCAGCACACTGAAAGCATGCAGCACACTGAAAGCATGCAGCACACTGAAAGCATGCAGCACACTGAAAGCATGTGCAGCACACTGAAAGCATGTGCAGCACACTGAAAGCATGTGCAGCACACTGAAAGCATGTGCAGCACACTGAAAGCATGTGCAGCACACTGAAAGCATGCAGCACACTGAAAGCATGCAGCACACTGAAAGCATGCAGCACACTGAAAGCATGCAGCACACTGAAAGCATGCAGCACACTGAAAGCATGCGCGGCACACTGAAAGCATGCGCGGCACACTGAAAGCATGCGCAGCACACACATTCTCTCAACAACCACGTTATAACCTCTCCAGTGCATGATCAATCCATCACTCACTTCTGCTCCCACTCTTCCTCCCCCTTCACACCCCCCCATCCCCCGCCACTCCCCATCCCCTCCCCCACTGCCCTGCAGCCGACCCCTCTCCCCTCAAGTCGTTCTCCCACTGGCCCCTCTCCAGCGCCCACCCGCTCCTCACAGCCGGCTCAGCTCGCCGCAAGGCCTCCTCGCTCTCCCTCACCACGCTCTCCGACCTGAATGCTGCATCCCTCGCGCTGCACCCCACCCCGTTTGCTCTGCTCGCCCCTGCCACGCCCACCTCCCCCTGCCGCCCCTTCTCCTTCTCCACTTCCTTCACCTTCCGCATCTCCTCCCCCAACGCCGCGGGGCTGGGCGGCGAGGGCTTGGCGTTTGTGATGCTGCCGACGCCCACGCTCGGCCTGCCGGGGCCGTCCCTGGGCTACGGGCGCCTGCTGCTGCCCCCGGGGAGCACCACTGCTGCTGCTAATGCTTCTGATGACGGTTCCAGTGTCAGTGATGCAGCAGTGTCATCGCAGGTACACTTCAGCTCAGGTGGGAAGCAGTTCATTGTTTCACAGGGGCAGCAACGCACGCAGGTGGGCAGCAATGCATAAACTCATGTATTTACTCCACTTGTCTTGATCTCTTCTAAAAGAGCAGCTGAACCTCTCAATATGCCCCGTCCTGTCCTCAATATGCCCCGTCCTGTCCTCAGCAGCACAGGGGCCCGGCAGTGGAGTTTGGCACTGCACGCCTTGCCATTCTTCCTTCTTTCACTTTGCCTGCCCCTTCTCACCCCCTGTCACCCTCCCCCCTCTATCCACATCAGCAGCGGAGTCTGGCAGTGGAGTTTGACACGTGCGCCTCCCCCGAGTTCTGGGACCGGCAGGAGCACCACGTGGGGGTGAACGTGGACGGCAGCATGCTCTCTCTCGCCTCTACCCCCGTGCACCCCGTCGGCATCCCCTCCCTCAACGCCGGTCAAACCCTCCTCGCCACCATCCAATACAACGCCTCCTCCTCCCAGCTCACCGTCTGGCTCTCCCCAGCCCCACCCTCCTCCTCCTCCTCTTCCTCCTCCTCCTCCTCCTCCTCCTCCCCTCCTCTCCCCACCTCTGCCGTCCTCACCACATTCCTCGACACCTGCGAGTGGCTCGGGGGGAACGACCTGGAAGCAGCAGCAGCAGCGCCGCCCCCGCCGTTGTTTGTGGGCTTCACAGCGGCTACTGGCAAGGGGGCGGAGCAGGCGCAGGCGCACGAGGTGCTGGGGTGGAGTTTCCAAGTCATGTGCTTGCATTGCATTGCACCCATGGCTTATCATGCTCTCTCCGCTTATACTCTACCACGTGAACCACAGGTCATGACTTGGCTCGAGGTGTGATGTCCTCATCCAAACCTTCATGCGAATCCCGGCCCCCCTTCCCCTCCTCCCCTGCTCCCCCCTCTCCCCTGCACGCCCCTCCCCCTGTTTCACACATCACATCAAATCACATCACATCACATCACATCAAATCACATCACATCACATCACATCACATCAAATCACATCACATCACATCACATCACATCACATCACATCACATCACATCACATCACATCACATCACATCACATCACATCACATCACATCACATCACATCGTCAACCCCAGCAGCGAAGGATATGCTCCCGTTTTGGGCGGCAGACTCATTCTCCTTCCCCTACATCACGCCAGCCACTCCCCTGCTGACACGTGGCAGCACAAGGAAGCGTTTCTTCGCCGCCGACCTCTCTGTCGCTGCTGACGTGGCATCCACCAGCCAATTAGACGACCCCGCCCCGGGAGCCATCTTCTTCCCTCGCCGTCTCCCCCTCCTCTACCCCTCCTCCTCCCCTCCCTTCCCTCCTCCTTCCGTTCCTCTTCCTCGCAGCTCCTCCCGCTCCTCTCCTTCCTCTGTTCCCCAACCCTCAGCCTCCGAACCTCCCGTCTGCATGGCCCGCTCTTTCACCTTCACATACGGCTTTTCCATGAACGTATCCGCTACTCAAGGGCTCGCATTCGTTATAAGCACGCATGCGAGTGTGGGCCTAGGCGGGGCTTATATGGGGTACGGCCAGGACCCGTCCTCCCGACTCGCTAATGGCAGCTGGCCGGACGGCGCACGGAGTGTAGCTGTGGAGTGGCGCACTGTACCAAACCCAGAAACTGGCGATATAAATGATATAAACGGTGTACGCGTCGGCATTAACACTGATTTTAACATGACTTCTGTTTTTGCCACGGAGGCAATGTATGCGATGGAGCCGGAGGAGGTGTGGCAGATGAGGGTTGACTATAACGGGAGCAGCAAGGAGATGGTGCTTAGATGGTACCGCCCGCCTGTTCTAAAAGGCAGCGTGAGGGTCTCTATTGACCTCTGTGCTGCTCTCAGTGGCGCCTCTGACACCAGTGGTAGCGGCAGTGACAGCAGCGGAAGCGGCAGTGACAGCAGCGGTGTGACGGACCCAGCATCGCCATCTTTTGGGCAGCTGTTTGTGGGGTTCACCAGCGCTGCTCTCCCTCCCCCCCCTGGCCGCCTGCCTTCCCCCGTCACCCTCTCCTCCTGGACCTTCAGATTCACAGGTAAGGGGGAGGCGAGGGGGCGAGATGGGGGGAGGGAGAGAGAGAAAGGGTAGCAAGCCACGTGCCCTGCCAGGCTGCCCCCGTTGGCCTCTCCTCTCCTCTTGGACCTTCCGGTTTACTTGGAACTTTCTAACCATCTGCATGGAGGGGCTGGAAACCTCTCTCCTCCCGCCTCGCACCCCCCTTTCCACTCCCCCATTCCCATCCTTTCCTTCCAAGGCCTCTCCACTGCTGCCCTGTGCCATGCCTGCATGCTCCACCCTTTCCCCGTTTCCATCCTCCCTCCCCCTTAACAGACACTGACCCTTGCACGGGTTCTCCGGTGCTGCCCTGTGGAACGGGCGTGTGCACCAAGGCACCTGCCCTGTGGGACCCCTCTATCCTCGTGTGACGTGTCTCATACCCTCTATCTCCTCACTCGCCAACTGTCTCATTCCCTTCACCCCGCCCCCAACAGACACCGATCCCTGCATGGGTTCTCCGGTGCTGCCCTGTGGAACGGGCGTGTGTAGCAAGGCACCTGCCCCGTGGGACCCGTCTATCCTCCTGCCCTCCTGCAAGTGCCCCTTCAATCTCCCCTCCTTCCAACCCGCTCACCTCGCCGGCCTGCCCTCCTGCTTCCCCGGTGAGTCGTGGAGTGCTGTCGGCAAGCGGTGGAGTGCAGTAGGTGAGAGGTGTAGTGCGGTGGGTGAGAGGTGGAGTGCGGTGGGTGAGTGGTGGAGTGTGGTAGGTGTCCTTTTGGTTTGTGGATGGCATAGTATTGTTCTACTCATGCACTGGTTCTCGATTCGCAACATTCTTGAGAATATGCAATTCAACCTACTCTTTTTCTTTTTTGGCTCTTGGAATTTCTCAAAAGTGTGTGCTCACTGCACTATGACCGCCCCGGCAACTCCCTTTTTCTCCGTTCCCCTCCTTTACCTCCCACCGCCCTTCCCCTTCCCTCTTCTTCGCCTTCCTCCTCGATTCCCCCTTCTCCTCCTCTCTCATTCTCCATCCCCCTCTCCCCTTGCCCCCATGTCCCCATCCCCCATTCCCCTGTCCCGTTTTCCCACCACCCCCCCCTCCCCCGTCCCCCGCCCCCTCTCCAGATTCCTTCACGTGCCGCCACCTTCCCCGCAACCCGTGTGCCCCGGGGGTGTGCATGGATGACATAGACGGCACCTACTCCTGCCTCTGCCCCTCGCCCTTCTTCCCCTTCTTCTATCCGAAACGCACTACCCGCTGTTACCAATGTGCGTAACCACACTTGCTACCTGCCTCTGGTCCCAAAGAGGAAGTAACTGGGTTTTTCCATTCCCTGCCTCTAGCCCTCGCTCTTCTTTCGATTTAACTTCGTCCCCAAAGAAACCAACGAGTTTTGAGTGGACCCAAAAGTCTTAGGCACATTAGGTAAATTAATTTGAGTGGACTCAAACGTCTTAGGCAGATTAGGTAAATCAATTTGAGTGGACTCAAAAGTCTTAGGCACATTAGGTGAATTAATTTGAGGGGGCTCACTGTTACCGCAACCTTTCTGCTTGCATTGCAATCTGCCTGCCTGCCTGCCTGCCTGCGTGCCTGTCTGCCCCATGCTCACGCACCCCGTGCATGCATGCAGTGCGATCGTTTGAGCTGCGAGTGCCCACATTCCTGTCTCCCTACGGCCTCACATGCCCTCTCATCCTCAACACTTACGGACTCACCCAAGCGGCCTTCTTCAGCCAAAACAAGGTCAGAAAGGCTTTGGTCAGGAAGGTGTTAAATTGAAGGAAGGTTTGGGCTGTGGTTGGGGTCACGGGCCACATCACATCACATCACATCACATCACATCACATCACATCACATCACATCACATCACATCACATCAGGCATCGCAACTCGTTTCCTTATCACGTGCCCCTTCATACATCCTCAAACTCAACTACGTTCGTGGCGCCCAAAGAGTCCTCAACACTTACGGACTCGCACAGGGCGAATTCTTCAGCCAAAACAAGGTCAAGCTTTTGACGGGTGTCACAAAAGGTTATCAGTTCGTTCGGGTTACCACAAGTTACATCAGATCGCATGACATCACACAACCACATTGCCTTTCCGGTCACCTGCCCCCCCTCATTGCCCCTCACGGCCCCTCATTGCCCCTCACGGCCCCTCATTGCCCCTCACGACTCTTTCTTCCCCCCAATTTTCGCACTTTCCCTCACTTTCCCTCACTGCCCCTATCTTCCCCTCATTCTTCCCGCCACCCATTCTGCCTGCCTCGTCCCATTCCCTCCCTGTTCTAACTGCAGAGCTTCCAAACTCATACCCCCTTCCATCTTAAGTTTGTAGTCATTCTTTTTTTGTCGACTACCCACGTTGCAACCCTCCCAATCCGTCATCTTTCCTTGATCGGACTGCAGGGCTTCCAGTGCCGAGCGCCCATCCCTGTGGAGACTGTCATCAACGTCACCAGCCGGGCTTACTCCCAATGCACCTCCATGTACACTGCTAATTATGTAAGCGCCGTTGCGTTTATGTACGTGCCAATGCGTCTATGTAAGCGCCAGTGCTTCGATGTTAGCGCCAATGCGTTTATCTAAGCGCCGCCAGTGCGGTTATGTAAGCGCCAGTGCTTCAATGTTAGCGCCAATGCGTTTATCTAAGCGCCGCCAGTGCGGTTATGTAAGTGCCAGTGCGTTAATGTGGGCGTTATGTAAGCGCCAGTTCGTCAATGCAATTGCCAGTGCGTTAATGGAAGTTCTAGTGCGTTTATGTAAGTGCCAGTGCGGTTATGTAAGTGCCAGTGCGGTTATGTAAGTGCCAGTGCGGTTATGTAAGCGCCAGTGCGTTTATATGAGTGCCATTGAGCTTAACCTCGAAACCAGCATTCTATTCACTACTCACTGTGAATCGCCGCCTTTGTTTGCATTTCCCACTCCCTCCATCTGTCCTCCTCCTCCCCTCCTCCCTCTGTGTCTGCAGGGTGACTCGTGTGACGCCATCAATGCCCTCTTCTCCACGCACATTCAGCCGCTCAACCTGATTCTCCCAATAACCACGCTTTTGCTTCCCACTCCCTCCTCCTATGTCTGCAGGGTGACTCGTGTGACTCCCTCAACGCGCTCTTCTCCCTCAGTTGCTCTGATGGGCCCCGGCCCGGCCAGGTGGGTGCTGCAGATGATGAGTGGAGATGAGTGCAGATGAGTGGAGATGAGTGCAGATGAGTGGAGATGAGTGCAGATGAGTGGAGATGAGTGCAGATGAGTGGAGATGAGTGCAGATGAGTGCAGATGAGCGCAGATGAGTGGAGATGAGTGCAGATGAGTGGAGATGAGTGCAGATGAGTGCAGATGAGCGCAGATGAGTGGAGATGAGTGCAGATGAGCGCAAGTGAGTGCAGATGAGCGCAGATGAGTGCAGGTGCAGGTGGGTGCACGTGAGTTTCGGTGACTATACCGTGTGCCTAATTGGGTAGAGGTGAGTGTAGGTGGGTAGAGGTGAGTGTAGGTGGGTAGAGGTGAGTGTAGGTGGGTGGAGTGGAGGAGAGTGTAGGTTGGTGTCAGAGAATGCGGGTGCACAGCACACTGCATGTTGCGAACTGTAGCGGCAGCAATAAGAGATCATCAGGGTAATGCCCCTCGGGCTTTAAGGGTGTGAACCCCTGTTCTTTAATTCTGCCGTATTGGATATATGTACTGCTTGAGAAATATTGATGCCCAAGATGGGCTCTACTGCTCGCGGACGTTCTTGCATCACATCACATCACATCACATCACGTCACGTCACGTCACGTCACCGTCACATCACATCACACCACACCACACCACACCACACCACACCACACCACACCACACCACACCACACCACACCACACCACACCACACCCACCACAGCACAGCACAGCACAGCACAGCACAGCACAGCACAGCACAGCACAGCACAGCACAGCACAGCACAGCACAGCACAGCACAGCACAGCACACCACACCACACCACACCACACCACACCACACCACACCACACCACACCACGTCACATCACATCTTAGCACATCTTATCGCATCGCGTCGCACAATGCATGTAGGTCTTCATTCGACTTTGAGCTCCATGTCCTAATAAATGGGCGTTTATTCACACATCCATCTCCACCCTCCCCCCCCACTCCCCATTCCTCCTTCCTCGTCTCCCCCCTCTCCCTCCTCTCTCCCCCTTCTCCCTCCTTCACAGCTCCTCTGTGTGGACTTCAACAGGACGTGGCTAGAGCTGGCAAAAACCCGCGTGGCATGCCAAGTCTTTGCCCAAATCACCCCAGCCATCACCACAACCCCAGCCACACCGCCTCCGAGCCATCAGCCACCCCCTCCCCTAGTCGAGTATACAACCCAGGGCGTGACCGTGACTGTGCTCCAGGGCCCGCAGTCCTGCCAGCAGCTGTGGCGTGCATTTGGCATCGCCTCCCCGATGAGATTCTTCCAGATGAATCCTGGGCTTTCGTGCGACTCCCTGCTGCCGTACAGCCCCACGCAGGGCAATGTGATGAGTAAGGTGAGCTGGACCGGGACACATGGACAAATGACGAGTCAAGTTCTAGTCGACTCGTTTTTGCGAGTTTTTTTTTGCCTCGAGTCGAGTCAAGTAAAACTCGTCGATTTTTTTTCGACTTTGGAACGACTCGTAACTCGACCATATGGTCCAAATTTTTAAAAAGAATGGCGAGTTTTATAAACTCGACTCGTATGCCCATGAATATCCCACAAAGCAGTTGTGCACCTGTTTGTTATAAGGCAATATGCTGAAGTTGAGGGGTTGAGGGTTTGAGTCACAAGATGAGGGGGGTGCAAGAAGTCTGTTGCTGGGAGTAGTTTCAGGCGGTGGCATGCAAGATTGCACTTTTGTTCTTCACAGCCGTTTAAAACATGTGTGCGTGCGTGCGTCCGTGCGCTGTCCATGCGTCCATGCATCCATGCGTCCATGCCTCCATGCATCCATGCTTCCGTGTGTCCCTGTGGCCGTCCGTCCGTCCGTTGGACTGTCCTCTGTGTCTGTCGTGTGTCTGTGTGTCTGTCAGTGTGAGTATGTATGTGTAAAGGTTATCTTATGAAGGCCTTGTTCTCCCCTTTCCATCATGTTCAAACTGATGATTGCCTCACAGGTTTGTGTGGATGCTGTTGATGCCCGGCCACTCTCTGGCATTTCATGTTCGACCAAGCGACCGTACAGTGTAAAGCGCGGAGACACATGCGGCATGTTGATCGTTAAGAGATACCGCCGCAGTACTAACATGTTTAGGGAGCTTAACAATGGATTTGATTGTACCGTAAGTAGATTGTGGACTGGGATGTTGCTTTGTTTACCCTAATTACCATCATCGCCCGAATAGTAGATGCTTTGTAATGCTTTTTTGTGTGAACCTTACTCTCAAAGTAGGAATGCAACGGAATGTGTGAACTGTTGGAAACAATCAGTCTTAAGCGCCTCTGTCGTGTCGAAACACCAAGACACAAGCGAAGCAAAGCATATCGAGGCACCAGCGAGTCAACCATCGGAGGTTGAAGTAACCGCTGGAGGTTACGCGAAAGTCAAAGGTCAGCGACCTTTGACCTGACAAATACAGCGCGACAGCAAGGACACACAACTGACTCGCTACAGAGCAGTTGCCCGAGTCGTCCCTGTATCGAACCGCAACAGCAACAGTAAAACAGTTATAACCGTATCCCTTCATATTCCTTGTACTCTTATATAATCTTGTATCTCTTTGTCTTAATCAATCTACTTTGCCCTCACATACTAGCGCAAGGTGGTTCACAATACTTCATTAAACGCTTCCGCTATTACATCAGTCCCACTCAGCGTTCATCCCTGTAAAGATCCTAAGGGCTTTTTCTCAGCCCAACATGAACTAGGGAAACAAGGGATACAAATAGCAACCCTAAAAGTGTTGTACTCCCTAGAGTGCTACTCACTGTAGCCTAAGAACCTATAATAACATTTGACACACCCCCATAGGCTAAGTGAGGGGCATCAAAGCAAGCAGGGTGAACAAACGGTCACAAGACCAGTCAATGCAAGAAGCAAAGCAAGCTCAGGGTGGATCTCAAGGACACCACACAAATTCCGAGCACAAGCAAGCGGCCACAAGGCCAGTTCAAGAGTTCACTAGGATATATATAGCAAAGCACAACAAGCAGAGCCAAAAGCAAGTCTACAGCAACCGAGGGCCTACCTCAACAAGTCCCAACTACACACAGAACCTGTGGTGGTCATTAAGCGCCAGGGCCTTGGTGAAGACGTCTGCAGTGTTGGCCTCTGAGGACACAAAGTCCAGGCGTGCCTGGCCGCGTCGCTGCAGCTCTCGCAGAAGGAAGTACCTCACGTCAATATGCTTCACTCTGCTCTCCAGTCGAGGCTCTCGACAGAGGAGGATCATGGCCTTGTTGTCAGCGTACAAGGTCGGTGCAGAGCGAGGCCGCTCGCCAAGGTCGGCGAGCAAGAAGGTCAACCAGCGAAGCTCCTGTGCCGCCATGGCACCAGCGTAGATCTCTGCCTCTGCACTGGAAGTAGCCACAGACGACGACCGTGTAGACCTCCATGACATAGCACCAGCTCCCAGACTGAAGCATTAACCCTGAGTCGAGCGCTGAGTCTCCACGTCGTCAGCGTAGGAAGAGTCGCAGTGACCAGTCAACGCCACTGGCTGAGTCCCTCCAAGCACAAGCCCCATGCCTGATGTAGTCGCCAGGTACTTCGCCACCCTCACAGCAGGTGTCCAGTGGACAGGACGGTGTCTCCCAATCGCAACAAAGTGAGAAAGTATGCTGAGGGGAAAGGCGAGGTCCGGCCGAGTACAAGTCATGAGGTACATGAGGCAGCCCACCAGCTCTGCATAGGGACCACTGGACTCAAAGGGCTCGTCTGGAAAGGGGCCAGTGAGTCTGTGGTCAACAGCAAGAGGTGTGGGCTGTGTGGAGGAGAACTGGAAGTCGAACCGCCGAAGGACCTGCTGCACCATGTGTGACTGAGTCAGTGTGATGGTGCGAGCGGCTCTGTCCCTGGTGATCTGCAGGCCAAGGTAGCGCTGTAGTTCACCTAGGTCAGTGCACTTGTGTCTCTTCTGCAGTTCGGAATTCACCTGAGCCAGAGCTGCCCTGTCTGCTGTGGCAAAGACCAAGTCGTCAACGTACACTAGTAGAAAGAACGTAGTGTAACCAGTGCGAACAAACAGCGACGGGTCGGCAAAGGAAGGACAAAACCCAAGGTCACGAAGCGTGGAGCGAAGAGTGACGTGCCACTCTCGGGGCGACTGACGGAGACCGTAGACTGGCCGTCTCAGGCTCCACTGGGTCCCAGGTGGGAAGGTGTCAGTGAAGCCAAGAGGGCGGCGCAGCCAGATCTCCTCGTGTAGCCAGCCCTGGAGAAACGCAGTAGAGAAGTCAAGGGAGTGCAACTCGTAGTCTCGCTGTGCTGCTACGTGCAGTAACACCCGAAGAGTAGTCATCTTCGGGGTCGGGGCGAAGGTCTGGAATAAGTCAAATCCCTCACGCTGACTGAAACCCCTAGCCACGTGGCGCGCCTTGAACACAGGCGGTGAACCAGGCGGCCGCTTCACCTTGAAGAGCCACATGCCATCGACTACGTTCGCCCTGGGAGGGGGAACTGCGTCGACGTAGGTGCATGTGGATCTCCAAGACGCTAACTCTAAGGCCATAGCCGCTTTCCACTGTGAGGCCCACGCCCCTGACACTACCTCGCGGTAAGTGCGAGGAGTCGGTATGTCAAGGGCGTCGGGGTCTCCCTCAGGGGATAGCAGCATGGCACAGGCAGAGGGAGAAGCGGCTGCCCAGTACTCCAGCTCAGACTTCTGTCCTCTAGGACGTCACAGCCAAGGGCAAACTCACCCCCGACGGACAGAGGACGGGAGGGAGGAGCTGGTACCACACGGGTGGTGTAGTCAAGGCGACTGGCGGCAGCAAACTCAGCGACAACTGCAGTGAGAGCCGAGACAGACGACGGAGGGAAACGAGAGTCGGCGACAAGAGTGGCGAGGACACGAGGGACAACAGGACAACCGGCACGGTAGTAGTCAGTGGCAGGAGTAGGAGGGGAAGGGAGAGAGGACGGAGGAGGAGACGGGAGAATGGACTCAGGAGGAGGACGACGAAAAGACGAACAAAGGAGGGCCGTGCGGAGGTCGGGAACGGGAGACGAGTGACGAGCACGCGGAGGACAGGGACGGACACGAGAGTGCGGGACAACAGGTGGAGGAGACTGCGGTGGAGGAGAAGACCAGACCGCCGGACTGGCGTCAGGAGGAGGAAACGTGGGACCAAACGCTGGAGGGGACGGAGTGTGAACAGGAGGAGAGGAGGGAAGACCAAGGGCCCGAAGGCCACTCACGGGTGGGAACAGCTGCCGCTCCAGAGGGAGCTGCTGCGGTCGCAGCTGCGGCGGCAGTGTCTGCTGTTGCTGCGGCTGCGGCCGCTGATGATGATGATGCTGCTGCTACTGCTGCTGCTGCTGCTGCTCCAGCAGGTCCAACCGCCGCAACTCCTGCCGCCGCAACTCCAACAGCACGTGCTCCTCACGCTCACTCCGACGGGCCGCCTGGAGACGCGTGTCGTGGCGGTGGGGAGGCAGAGTGGACTCCGCAGAACCAGTGTCTCCAGCTCCAGTCTCCTCAGAACCAGCACCTCCAGTGCCAGCACCTCGAGCACCAGCACCCCCAGAACCAGCACCTCCAGTGCCAGCGCCTCCAGCACCGGCACCCCCAGAACCAGTACCTCCAGTGCCAGCACCTCCAAGTCCAGCACCCCCAGAACTAGCACCTCCAGTGCCAGCACCTCCAACTCCAGCACCCCCCAAACTAGCACCTCCAGTGCCAGCACCTCCAGCTCCAACACCCCCAGAGCTAGCGCCACCTGCGCCAGCACCTCCAGCTCCAGCACCCCGCGAACGAGCACCCCCAGACCGAGCACCGCCAGCGGCTGCGCCTCCAGCTCCATCACCAACCGAGTCCACAGTAACCTGTCGCGAAAGTGCCGAAGGCTGCTGAGGGGACTGTGAGGAGGACTGCGGGGAGGGAGACGCTACCTGACGCGCGACCGAGGGTAGAGGGGTAGCGTGGGACACACCAGACGAGGCAGGACCAGGGGGGGGGCGGGGGCACCGGAGGAGCAGGAGCAGGAGGAGGAGAGGGTGCGAGGAAAAGGGGGGGTGGGGGAACCGGGAGACCTCGACAGGGGTACCGGGTGTAGTAGGACACTGGCTCGTCGAACCGGACGTCACGGGAGTCTAGGAACTGGTAGAGGGGCGGGTGGTAAAAGGACCAGTCGGCCGAGGCTACCGGGAAACCAAGGAAGACATAGGGGACGGCACGAGCAGAGAGCTTGTCCGCAGAGGTGTCGCGGACAAGCGCAAGGCAGCCCCAGACACGAAAAGCCGACCCAACACCAGGGGACCCGGTCCAAAGAGTGGTCGGTGAAGCCTCTGGCCGCGAGACGCGCGGCTGGAGGTTCAGCTGGTGAGCGGCGTAGCGAACCACGTAGGGC